AAAGCGTTTAATTGTCCAATTGACTGGCAACAGTTGCCTTTTGGGGGCAGGGTGACGAGTGAGACCTTTGGTAGAAAACTTTTGTGCTAATTGTAGGCGAATATAAATAGAATCTAATGAGGGAACTTGGGAACACACAAGCTCCTCCTAGCCATATGGCACACCCAGCCCTTTGCATGACAAATGAGGCGTTTTCATTCTGATTTTCCTCGCCAAACAAATTGCTGTCATATCTTAAAGGACTCCTCAGCTTCCCTAACATTTCCTGCTGCCATTTATCAGCCAAGTTTCACTCGTGGCACAAAGTTAATAACCCATTTGTTGGCTGATCTTTGCAGTCATGATTCCCGGGCATACAAATGGGCACTGAGAGCTATCATAAACACCACACTCACACACACTTGAAGAGAAAGGGAGAGAGTGGGACAGACATATGCCACTGGGGCATAAAAAACTGCCAGGAAAACGCACGGCAACGGCCCTTGCCTGCCAGCAAACATTTGACTTCTAATTAAGCTCCACCAAAGTTGCCAGAGACGAACTCGAGAGAGGCACTCGGCAAAGTGTCTTCCCCCCCTTGCAAGACGATGATTAAGCGCCCACGTACGTAACTATGGGGGGGAAAGGTGTCAGGGCCAGCTTGGCCTTCATTCGGTATGCGTGGGCTAATCAAATTGGGTCTAGTCCCTGTCTGCGGCGCTGTCTGTGGAGCAAGGAAATGGCAAAATGGAATTTTGGCGCTGCTCTTGGGCTGTTTTTGTGTGTGTATCAGCCCCGTCTGTGTCTAATGTGTAAGTGTGCCAAAACTGATTGCATAATTATGCAAATGCTCTACTCCAGCACAATATACGTCTAATGAATTACTCAGACTTTGACGCTGACTCAGACGGGTGGATTCCTATCCGCCAAAAGATAGCCGTCTGCTCCTTGCTCCCAAGTGAAGTGTAAAGAAGGAGCCAAAATTCCAAAGTCTTGCGGGATTGGGCGCGTGTGTCGGTGGGAGTATGAGTATGGGCTTTCATGTCGTTAAGGATTATACAATAATTTGTTATTGTTGTGCCCCGCGCCATTGTTGTGTTGGTAATTACATTTGACTGGCGGCAGTGCTATGGATTAATCGAATTAGAATCGAATCGAATGGAATGGAATCCGCGAGTAAGTCGAACGATCTGCCGAACAATTAACAGTCGATTTCGGACAACTGCTTTGACACTAAATTAAACACGCATTAGTAACAAAATGTAACCCCAAGCCCCAATCCCCGTTCGAGCTGCACGTGCCACACAGACACAGCCCTTTCGGCAATTCATAATCGTAAAATATAATCGCTTGCCTCATTTTTGCTTTGGTGTTTTGTTTGTTTTTCGAACTATAAAGCCAACGCACCCGCCAATAAGTTATATCGAGAATTTTGCCATAAAAAGAATTAGGACACGGCGGAGAAAAAAAGTAAAAGTAAAAATTCTACAAACTGTAGCTAAATAAATACAGGGCACATTAAAGAAAAAATAAAAATTCAAAAAACATTCATCAATAGCTTTTTCGGGTTAAACAAACGATGCGTATGCACTGGACCTGAGCCCCACCCACTGTGAGTGCCCACCCTCCCAGCGTGCCACAAAGGTCTAAAATGTGGCCCACCTTTTATTTGCATAGCGATCACACAGTTGAGTTACATTTTGAAAGAAATTCGCGATGGGAATACTGTCTGCTGCTCTCGATTGTTTTTATGAGTCAGTCAGCGAGCGGATACTTCATATTCACGCGGCGTCCAGGCGACTGTCCAGACGCGATCGCGATTGTCGTGCCACAGAAAAAAAGAAACCACAAATCGAAAGGCGCCACACGCACACATCAGGCAAATCAAACGACACGGAGAGTAGTGGAACGACGTGTTTGGCCGCACACTCTGCTTTTTGCTCTGCTTTTCCTGTTTTCTTTGGCCTCGTCCAGCAGTGCGTAATTAGGCAAATCAAGCCGTAAAAAATGAGACTATGCCAAAAGGCGAGCTGCAAAGACATCCACATAAATCACAAACCGCTCATACGAGTATAAATAAAGACATTTTTGATTTGGAACTCTGTTGCCTGCGGACAGGCCTAATAGCTGACCAAAAATAGAAGCAGAAGCGCCCAATCAACTTGAGATGCACGCCGAATCGTTGGTAAAAGGAAATTCCGGCCTCTGCGACGTATACGCAATAAATTTTCATATTCCTCTTATCCGATTTGCCACAAAGTTCAGTGGGTTGAAAGATGGACCATGGCCCACGAAGGGTATTAAATATGTTTGGCATTCAATTTGGCGAGGAGCAATGCCGATTGTAAACAACATGCCCCAAAAAGCGCCAACAGATGTTGCATTTGTTTAATGAGCCGTGGCTGGTGGGCTATAGGCTGATGGAAATGTGTTCTTAAGCAAATAAAACCTTATATTTATATAACTTTTTCGTTTAATTCTGGCCAGAGTCTGGAGTGTGTCTATGGAAATGTGAGTTCAAAAAGTATGTGACAATGCTGAGAAGTTCGAGTGCGTCAGAAGGTCGCATTTTGAGGCGTGATAAGGCTACAACAGAGGGGGCCAGGGCAGGGACAGGGAGCCACAGTTTTTTGAGTGGAGCCAACAGCTCTGAAACAATTCAAGTAGAGATGATGACAATCGCTTCATTATGATTAAAGTGCGAGCAAAGTAATGTTGATGAAGATGAAGATGATGATGATGACTAGACACTCGCATAGGCTTACTTGTGGCATTAATTTGTCAATGTTTAGATTTCGAAATCAATATTATCAACAAAATAAACATTATTAATAATGATGCCAAAGCACTAAACAGCGGTGAGAGAGGCAGATACAGGGACAGAACCATGGAAACGCGTATGCAAATGCCGGCAGTTTGGCAGGTTTTGGGTTTCTCGATCAAAATATAATGTGAGGTGTGCTTTATAAATACTCCAAATGAACAGCACTTTGATTTGTTTGTATCCAATTTGCTTTTAAATTATTGTTTCATGTCTATGGCAGAGGCACGCACGAGTTCCATTCAATAATAAACAACTCATTCACATTGTTTACGCATGGAAGCAAATGGAAACAACTTGTATATGCATAGGGTTCTTACCTATAAAAAGCCGCAAGATATACTCTGTACAAAGATCGAAGAGAACGTGGCGTAAAACTGTTCTGACTGCCCCGCAAATGCATGCGGCGGCGGCAAGTGCATTAATTTCCGATGTCAAACTTCACGGCAACACTTAACGAAATACTTTTTTATGTTTCGCATGTAATTAAAAGCATTAACGCGACGACGACCACGACAACCAACCGCAGCTACAGCTGACAGTGGCGTTGACATTAATGTCAGCCAGCCCGAGAGTGCAGGCGGCCAGAAATCAGACCCACAAAGACGACACGGAGGGATAGGGATTGTGATTGTGATTGGGATTGACAATGCAGCTGTCACTACCTAGAATATGCCCCTGCAGGCTTCGTCTTTCACTGTACTTTCTATTGGGCCACGACCAAGCCAAGTGATCCAGCCAACCGCTCGCCGGCAAGTTTTCCCAAAGACTAAACAACACAGTTTTCTAGCAAACAATTTTCACACGCCGCGTTTACCGGCAACGGACACAAAAACACAACTGAGCGCGTGTAAGCTTTTGAAAGCTAGGCAGACCGAAGCTTTTCCACTGTGCTTTACCATTAAACATGCACAGTATATCTTTGTATGCAAGTATGTATGTGCATATGTATGTACCGTATGGCTAGAGGCGTTCACGTCACGCGTCACTTTCTTTGGCGCACAAAACGTTCGACTGAGCTTTTGTGAATGAAACTCTAATCAGAAGCAAAACGCTCGTAAATTCGTTTTTGAGTGCGTACAAGTGTGCCGTGGAGGGGGGAGTGAGGTGCCTGGCGCAACTTGAATGAAATGCGCGTAAAAGCTCGTTGCATTGCATTGAGTGGAAATATAGGGTGACGCGACAATGTATTATCAGATTCAATCGTTCGGACTACTGTCTATGTCAAATATTTTATATTCCCTCGAAGTTAAATTGCTTTCACTTTAAATACTCAAAACCAGCATGAAGATTAAGAACCCCCAAACATCTGGCCAAATTTGTTTAACTGGATTATAACAATCACTTCCTTATAAATAATCTGGATCATTAACATTGAGGGGGTAATATACATACATACATATGCATACATATTTACATACATAATTGAACGAGCGTGCATCTGGTCAAATGTGGAATCTCCATCCAAAATTCGTTGCTTTTGTCGCATTACCTGAAATATGGCTTCAAAAACACGCTTTTTATTTTAGATTTTGTACGATTTCTTAAACTTCAATCAACACACGTGTTAATGCTTAACATTACAAAACAGATTTACATTAATTTGGAAAACATTATCGGCCGCTGCAACAAAGTCCTCAGTATTGCATATTGGGGAACTATCTTATCGCAATGAATGCGTAATAATACTTATAGATGGAGTTCCTTAGGCAAGTTCCGCTGCTTATCTGCACAAATTTGGTATTAAATTAGCAATAGAAAGCAATGAAATTTCGGAAATTCCTAGCCTCTAGACGTCTAGAGCACTGCTTGCTAACTTAGCTGATAGCTGACTGATAGCCACTTTTAATTTCTTAATTTCTAAGAAGCAGCTTCAAAGTACACTCAGTACATGTTACGAGTCAACATTTACGATAAGTGGCAAGGAGTCACCTTTTTAAGTCACATGACAAGGAGCATACACATACTCGTACTCGAGTACATCGCTTAGAGCAGCGCCTCAACTTTATTTCTACGTTTCTTTTAGGACCTGTTATTTGCACTACTACAATCAGGCTATGTACAATGAATTGTTGGGAATAACAATTGTCGATTGTAGAATGTGATCGAGCTGAGCATAAAACAGATTAAGCCTCGAATTTGTTTCCACATTTATTTATCTGACTTTACATCTGACTATACTATACTATCTATACTGTTAAATGATTCCTTAATTCTATCAACTTGTGGCATCTACAACTTTCCCATCGTTTGCTTCCAATTCAGTCTTGTACTCCCTTTCCAATGGAGGTGCCGATGCCGATTCACTTCTCTCTTCTGTTGGAATCACTTCTGGAGCTGGAGTCTGCTTCTCAGCATCGTTATCCGACAGATTAACCTTTGGCTCAGTCTCAGCCAGAGGCAGTTTGGGTGTCGGAGGTGCCCTACGATTAGGCAGAATCAGACTCTCCAATCCTCCAAATGGAGCCTCGATTAGAATGTACATAATGTACGCCAGGATCAGAGAGAATCCAAAGTCCTGCCAGAATCGCAGCATCTAAGAAATTGGAGAGATTCGGTAAAAGGGTTAAAGGGTTCCCAGAAAGCACTTAGCTAAGCACTTACCAAATCGTAGTCGGAGAAGTACGTGTTGACCCGAGTTCGTCCTGCATTCAAGTTCTGAATGAGCAAGTGATACATGTAGATGCAGTAGGACAGCTTGGACAGCGGCTGCCACAATGGAGAAGAGAGAAACGAATTGGCCAATCCGCCGTATCCCTGCATGCAGGCAAACACAACCCAGCTCAGGCCCAGGGGCCAAGCAATCCGAGACAGCGACACATAGAACGCTTCACTCAGAATGGAAATAGACTTGGACTTTGCCGGACCATACGGATACATGGCGAAGATGCAGGTAAAGAGTAAGGCCAAGCAGATCAGCCATCCGATCCAGACACTGGGACGACTCAGCTTGATCGACTTTCCCCGGATAGTGTGCAGGTAATACCCGAAGAGGAAGCCGACAAGCCAGCCTGATGTTCGATTGTGCGTTTTTTGGGAGAGTCCCATATCCCCTCCTGATATTCTAAAGAGTGTACGGATTAGATGCTGATTTGATCATGATTTAAAGTACTTACATGGATAAGTCCTTGATCACCATTATGCTGAAAAGGTAAGCAGCTAGCAAAAGGGTCAAAAGCAGGACAAAGGCGGCCCCTTTCGTTCCCCACTTGAAGACAATAATCAGGAGCAGTGGAGCGATGATATATAGCTGCATATCGATGGCCAAGTACCATGTTTGAGCGAGGCACTTTAAACCATGCAAAACGAGCGATTAGTCGATTAAAATATATTTGAATTTGGCTAGACTTACGATCCGATCAGCGGCATAGTTTTGTACATAGAGAAGTGTCCAGTACCAATTTTCATTACAGCTATCATAGTTATCAAAGTTCCATTTGCCAAACAGTGGGCCATCTCCCAGAAGGGGCAGAACTTTTAGATAGACGAGAATGGACACTGCCACAACAGGAGTGAGTCGTAGATAGCGATGAAGATACATCAGCGGAATGTTCAGTTTTCCCTTAGCTCTGCAATGAAAATATGGTTAAGATCCATTTACAAGTAGATGAGTCTCGAACATACTTCTCTATTGAACGCAAGGCGACCATTGAGACGAGCATGCCACTTATGAAGAAAAAAGTATCCACAGCGAAAACTCCCTCATTTATAACCATCATAAAAGGCGACTTGGCCCACTGAAAATTGGTTCAAAAAGTGTTAGGAGCTTGAATAATCTGAGCTATTTAGAAGTGCTTACCTTATACACATCCAGCAAATTGATATTCGGCATTGATATCGAAACGAGGTAATTATGACCGAAACACACCCAGATCAGAGACATGCCACGCAAACCGTGCAGGCAATGGACAACATTCGGATTGGAATTATTTGAAACACGAAAGAGACCACGGGAGTGGTAGCGTGCTGAGAATATCCTCAGAATGGCAGGGAGTTTCTCTGCAATAAAAATATAGAGTATAAAGTGTCCACAATCCACCATTGAACAGAAAGACTTACCTTGATCCTCGCAGAGAAAGTAATCGTAGAGCGTGGCAAGACCAACTGCTGTACCGAACACCGACAAAAGAACACTGAAAAGGGGCAAAGAAATGGCTAAATTTTAATAAAGAAAGGAATTTTTCTGTACTTTACTTACATTGTAAAGATTGTGAGTCCATCGTAGGATTCTCTGTCAGCCGTCTTGCAGGTGCTTTCCTTGACAAAACTGAGCTCTGCGTTCAGATCCACTCCAATGAGCTGATTTAGGAGTCGCAGCAGCAGCGTGTCCATGTTCGCAGCCGAACAGGAGGCGGGAAAGCAGACAGCTGTCTGTATTTTCAACATTTCCATGGGTCCCGCAATTCCCAGCAACTGCTGCAGCGGTAACTGGGCAAGGCAGTACTTTCCGTTAACATTGTAGTTGGAGGTGACGGCCTGCTGGATGTTGATGCACTCGTCGTAGTTCCCTAGATCCTTGAAATGTCCGACCAGAATGCCCGCTGGCACCGATCCCCAAGAGTCAATCACTGTGGAATGAATTTAAGGATTTGTTATTATATATTAAATCGGAGATCAGTCATTAACTCACTTCTGTATGCCCAAAGGCTGCCGGAGACCAAGCCGGCAGTTAGCTGAGCAAACTCCGCATAGCATTGAAGATCCTGCTGCGTAGGCAGGCGTGTTTCTGGCACCACATCAGACAAAGTTATATTCCGATAGAAGCTGAAGAACTCCTCCGACAAGTGACGGATCTTGACCATGCGCTGATATTCCTCCACATTCATTTCCACGCCCTTGTGTAGCTCCACATTCCAGTTGCTGGCCATGACCACGGTCAGGCCCCATAGAAGGAGAATAAATGTAATTCGAACCATGGCTTCCAGCGTTAAAAGGCCGAATAATTGGAGTCCGAACTACCGCGAACCTTTTTATAACCCATCGAAGGGAAATAGGCCGAGATGTCTGGCTGTGGTCGGTGATAAGGATTCCTAATATATGAGTGCTATCGATTGGCCCAGTACAGGCGTTCGAACTACCCACATGACTCTGCAGTCTAACCGAATTTTGAGTATTCCAAATAAGTTCCTATTAATTCAAATCAATTTATGCACATGTAAGGCCGATTGTAATCTTCTCGTCTAGTGTTTTGTTTGAGTTTAAGGCTTGAACTTGAGTATCTTATCGCTAGGCCAATGGTTCCTCGGAAATCCACTCCGGCACTTTCTGGTGTGGATCACAGTCAATGTGAAATTGTATATACATAAATAACAAATAAGTTTAGATTATTGCTTGGGAAATACCCCGGCAACAGCACCTAGAGTCCAAGAGTGCCAATGAGTAAGTTCGAGTCCCCAAAGAAGGAGTAAGCCCCCAAGGCCAACAGGTGGAGAATAAGATACAATCTGTCTCTGTCTTATCTAATAGTTTCATACGACTGGTGTCTAGTGGCTTAGATTTAAATTACTGGTGTTCATAGATTGTTTGCTTCTGGATTTTGTAGACACTACGAGAGATTACTTTGATGCAAAAATGTATTGGATTTTAATTAAGATTTTTGCATTTGCATAGCACCTCATACCACGCCCAACTTTTGATATTTAATTATATATGGTTACATAATCAACTGTCAACTGGTACCCCGCGAATAGTTTATGGGATCATAAATATTTCAATTAAAAGTGCCACCCACCACAGACAGGTGGTATAATTGTGTCTGTCTGGCACTTCCGTAAGATTCTTTTGCTAGCAACTATTCAAGCTGATGTTTGTCTGACGATTGGCTGTGATCTTGATATGCCTGTCTACGCAAAAAGTGTCACTGTCATTGCCATGTCCAACATGACGTATGCGCCATAAGCGAAACTAATCAAACACCAAAAAGGCGAAATCACAGAGCACAACAAAAGCAGCGAAATCGATCGACCAAATATGAAAACAATTAACAATCGAGCGCCGTCGATACGACAAATGCCTCAGCGCCGATCGCCGGCGGCAGCAACAGAAGCAGCAGCTGTTAACAGTAAATCTTCCCGCGTCAACATGTTCAGGGAAATACTCGTCGGGTCGGAAACAAGTTCGGATTGCCCCCCATGCAATACCAGCAGCAGGCACGTGCCTCAGAAATCACATCAAAACAGCAGAAACCGGAGCAGCGGAGGCTGTCAGTTTCGTAGAATTATCCAAACCACTTGGCAGATGCGTCATGCTTTCTCTTTGGGGAAGTCCGGATGTTGGCGACTGAGTAGCCGCTGCTGACGTTGCGCTCTGGAAGCGTGACTTGGGTGTGACAATACAAACTGCAACGAGCTGTACTCTGCTGTGCTGTGGTTAGCCGAGGTGAGATTTCAAGCTTTGCATTAGCATAAACACCTATTTATGTATGTATGTATGTAAAAATGTACCGATCAATACGGGTTAAGTGTGTTGGCGGTTCGAGTTCTTGATTGCTCGAGATTGATTGGGCGCACCCTGCTCTGACAATTAGCTCGTGTCTTTTCAAATCTATTTTATTTCGATGATGTTGATAATGAACCGTTCTTTCAGATCATTTCGACAATAAGCTAAAGAATCCGGCTACAGAAATGCCATAACTTTTTCAGCAGAAATGATTCAGTGATTTAAAAACAAAACAAAAAGCACTTAAAATGTAAACAATGACCCAAATGTCGTGGGGAATCCTTTGCCAAAAGATCCCCTTAAGATGTTATTATGCTTCGCACGATCCTCAATTGCTTTACCAAAAACAATCGACGAAAGGAAGGAAGTCTCTCGCACTCGTACGCGCACGTTTTATGGGCTGCAGGAGAGTCAGTGATTTTTATGGGCAATCAACGACAAACAGAACAAGTATGTATGTTTGAAGTAGTTGAAGTGCCGACAATTATTTTGTTTAATCAGCTTATTATAATGCCTTAATTAACGTATAAATCTACATGCTGTGTCTTAATTATACATTTGCCCACATCACATCACATCATTGTCTACAAAAGCAGTCAATACAACACCGAGAATGATATACAAGCAATAAATTGGTTCAGCTAGTTAAAAGAATATATGTTAATTATTAAATCATTACAGATAACATTTATATTATTTTATTACGTTTTTTATAACAGATTTGCATACAAGACAACTATTATTTTGATATATGTACATATATAGCACATATAATAATCAATATCAATTTAGTTCTTTGGATACATTTGACTTTATAAATTATAATTGATAACTTGGTGGCATTTGCAATTCAACACAGCTGCCACACACTCAATTCAAAGACAATACAAATACTCTATGTACGACGATAATGATGCTGATGATGGCAATCATAAAGTCCAGGTTCCAACGGCCATCGGCTGGCTTGGTTTCTTGCACGAAACACCCAATAATTATTAATCAAATATTAATACAATTGAGGCATTCAATTTAGCTTTTCAATTTCCGTGCAGTTGTCTCCATAACAATTAACCAAAGCTTAGTCTGCAGTTTAACCTTGTACAGTGACAATATTGCGCGCTTTAGAAACATTTAATAATTAGGAGTAGTTACATGACAATTTTGTAGTTACACATTCGAGCACACGCTCCTTTAGCTCGCCCCCCTTCCCTAAACCCGCACACTGCAGACTCACGGCAGAGGCAGAGGCTGCACACTGCGCGAAGCAGAGTGTGAATGAGAGAATGTGCAGGTAAATATAAGCTGCGGGACGGGGTGGGTTTTGCCACTGCACATTAATTTCTTCATTCTGGCTATAATAATGATCCAATCGCATCCCAATTTGGTGATCTGATAGATATGGTCATTCCCTACGGAATCTTCATCTTTTATCTTCAAAATTGTAGGTATGGGAGGTTTTCGCCCTTTTACGGGGGCGGAACGAGGCGTGGCTCATTTTTGAAATACACTTGTAACAGTGTGAGCATACAGAAGTCTGGATGCAAAATTTGGTGGCTCTAGCTTTTATGGTCTCTGAGTACTAGGCGCTCATCAGGACGGACAGACGGACGGACAGACAAACATGGCTCAATCGACTCGTATATTGATGATCAAGAATATATATACTTTATGGGGTCGGAAACGCGTTACATACATTCACTTTGCGCACAAATACAATATACCCTATTTACTCTTCGAGTAGCGGGTATAAAAAATGTTATTCATTTTTTTGCAACTCCTCAGTGTGATGCTTTAACAGCAAAATTTCACACTGCCTCCATAATGGGAATAAGTCATGACTATTGCAATATGTTGGCATTCTAAAAGTGGAATAAACTGACAGTCAAACCCGGTCCCTCTCACATATGTATGAGGAGTGCGGATCTGTCTGACAAGTACAGCATCGGTCTACAAATTGCACAAGACCCAACAGTTCTACGGCGGGTAATTGAAAATCGATTATTGAATGGCGTTTTTTACTTTCGCACGATTTGAAATTCTGAAACAATAAAACAGAATGGTTGGGCTATAAACCGCAGTCTCTCTTGGACAGAGAGCTACGAGACGAGCGGCTCCAGCATGGTCAGTCGTTAATTCGACTGTTTTTTGTTTCATTTTACAACTTACAATTTAGTAAAACACGAAACCTTCACAGTCAAGTTCAAATGCATAATTGAGATGGAAAGGCAGCGATCGGGTTAGAATAGTACAGTATTTGATAACTGTAAGGCTGAAGGACAAATCGCTTTGCAAATGTAGAGAGAGAGAGAGATAAATCACTTTCTAGTTTGCTGATATCAATACCACCAGTAGCACCCTCACCGTGTGTCATATAATTTTTCTTAGGGATTTCCGAGCATGTCTACTAAGCAGAAAAACCTGTGAACCGATCAACCTGTGACTGCTGCCGGGGGCTGGTCCATGTGTTTGTGAGTGCTTTTTTTGCCTGACAATTAGCGTGTGTGCGACGGGGACCGCCAGGAATTCCATTTCCTACGTCACTGAGCTCTGAACTAGCAAAAAAAAACATATCAACATACATATGTGTATGTCTGTGTGTACATTCTGTGTATGCTCAGCCGTGCGGTAATTGCAGCAGCCCCTGTAAGAGCAGGAACTGGTTTATACCGCCATTCTTCATCGAGCGACAACGACGCTCCGCTGCGACTGCGCCGCGCCGCGCAGCACCGCTGGCCGCGACTGAGGTTGAGGCTGCCGCGGCTGGGGCTGGGGCTGCGACTCTGGCTGCGGCTGCGGCTGCGGCTGGGGATCGGATATAAAAGTTAGTTGTGTGCTGGGATTCTGATTAGTCTGCGAGCGCCGTTTACAAGTACATAGTACGAGAATTTTTGGGTGTGCGTTACAAGTTTTTTTGGCTGCCAAGCAAAATCAAAGTGAAACGCAAGTTGAAGTGAAACTCCATTAAACAACCAAACGAAAAACCAGAAAAGGATATTAAACAATAAATAAACGTGCTCAGTGTCAGACGGCAGCAGACAAAGACTTGGAAAGAATAAAATAATAATAATAAATTCAGTGAAAGTAATTTCAACACACACAGTACGTATACGTGATTATTTTCTCAATTTTAAGACTGGAAGACTCTGCATTTATGCTTAGAATATATTCAATTAATACAGAAGTCCCTCGTAGTTGAATTCCCAGTTTGAAATTCTAAGTGAAATTACAAAACTTCATCAGGCAAAAGATATTTATACAAGAAAAAATTCAACAAAAAATGCATTTAGTTAATGGACAAAATAATTGACTGAACAAAACAGTTTTCCCTTTTCTGTAGTCATAAATAACTCATTTAGCTGTAAGTTTATGGAAGTTCTTTACTGTATCAAGGAAGACCTTGCTCGGCTGTTGCCCCTACAAAATTGCATACATTTATATCTCACCATATGAATTTATATTTTCATAAATTTTACTTAACTCCCGCTTACAAAACTTGCTCTGGGTTGGAGAGA